GGGGGGTAGCTCGTCGATTTTAAGGCGTAAACGAAAATATGTTCATACTCCCTTTAGGCTACCAGAACTTGTCAAGATACCCCGGTTGATCTAAAAATGTGGGACTTTTTAATCCCATATTGATACGCATTATTGCCGCATTTCAGACGCATTTTGGTGTGCGCATGAGGCGCTGACAGCTGCCGTTGCTCCCTTCCGCTCTCTTCTCTGCAGACGATCAAGAATGCAGACAAGCTCGAGCACACATTGTCAGCCTTAGATCCAGCAGGCAGAAATGTCGACCAGGTTGGGGCCGTTCACGAAGTACGTTGGAGCGTTTTTTGACCCCCACCCCCTGAATCACGCAAAACATCAGATCACATGCAGGCTTACCCCACCCCCCACCCCCACATGGTGGACGAGCAAGACCCCCTCGCGGACGCCGCCGCGGACTTCATCATCCCCGTGGACGTGCTGAGCTCCATGATCGCCCCGCCGCGGCCCCATCGCCGGCTGCACCACTCGCACCGCTTCTCGCCGATGCACCCCGGGGCGGACGCCGACGCGCCCCAGCTGGCCAGGAAGGCCCGGCAGCACGACGACGCGGTGGCCGCCCAGCCCGCGCAGGCCCAGGTCGCCGCCCAGACTCAGGTCACCGCCCACGGGCCGTACCCGCACCACCACCCGCACCTGCCGCCGGCCATGGAGGACCTCATCCCCAAGATCGGAGAGACGGAGGCCGAGAAGGCCGAGCGCGAGCAGAAGGCGGTCCAGAGGATGATCCAGGTCGTCAACGTCCTCGGCAGCTTGCAGAGCTTCTTGTCCGGCAGGGCGAAGACGTGCGCAGGCTGAGCAAAATAGTAGACGAGGAAGATGGGGGAGAAACTGACACGATAGTGAACACTTTGTGAATACTAGTCGTCTGAAACTAAAAATAAAGCAGCTGGGTGCTTTAAAATGTATTTGTGTTCACGAACGTGAGATGTTCAACACCAGGTGTCAGGGTGTACCGTTGTGAATAAATGTCTTTTTTTAATGACGACTTTCTCTTGATTGCCATACACACCTTGACTTAAATTTAGAACCTTGACACTTACGGACGATAGAATATTCACTATCAGGTCCCAATAGCGGGCTGTCTAGTTGTGGAGTCACGGTTGGAGAGGCGCGGTGTAGGCAGCCCAACGCACACGCGCGCCGGGCAGGTCGGTCTGTAGGACTCTAGTCGGGGGCACGGGGCACGGCTGCGCCCTCGTCCACCCCTATCGGGCGCACACGTCGTACTCCCAGTCATCCGAAATTTTAGTGAATTTTTAGTGGATTTGAAAATATGTGTCAATTATCAATGTAAGGTTTCTATCAACCATAAAATGAGGCCTCTGGTGAAAGGAGATTCCAACCAAGTACCAAAATAATTGAAAATTACGGCATAACTTTTTATTGAGAGAGTGTTTTAATGTACAAATAAACCGCGTCTCAATAAGAATTTTTAAAGAACAAATAGGGGTTGGGTGTATTCTTCCATGATAATTCTAACCGCTTAACAGGCGTGTTTTAGAGAAGAAACCCCATTCCCATTTCAAAAGCAACAACTTTTATATAGCGCATACAACATCACAAAATTCTTACATACAAATCATCTGCTTTTTTTCATCAAAATAAATTTAGAAGCAGATCTATTAATTTACAAGAACAAAGAGAAAAATTATTCACACGTACAATTTCAGGTTTTCCAAAGTCGTCAGCTCAAGTGGCTCGAATGCACTGCAGCGAATTTCAGCAAGAAGAGCAGACAATTCTTCCTTTAGCTACAAGAAAACGGATTAAAAATTACACAATTAAACTAGAAGTGTGGGACAATTTTATTCCAAGAAGGGATATGCTCTTCTACGCATCTTTTGCTTTTGTGGTGAATTGCACCATTTTATTGCGACAGTTTGCACCCAAGCTGGTACAAATTGTCCTAAAAATGATGTAAAAATGATGTATTACAAATTTCTCCCACGCAACTGGTGTGTTCAAAAACGTTGCCTTTCATTGGACAAAGTTGTCAAAAACGTTGCCTTTCATTGGACAAAGTTGTCTCATTCTAATTTAAAATTGAAAGTTGTTTGTATTTTGTGAACTCAGTTGTAAGTTGACAACCCCAGAACCACCAAACGCGATTCAATGCTTGTAGAAATGCACAGAAAAGGTAACACATTGGTGTTACATTAACAAAATTTGAAGTGTGTAAATTATGTAACTTGAACACTTCCATTGGGGAATTTTGACGAGGAGTCCACAATTTCAGATAACCACGGTTCAAGTAAAAATGATAATTTTTCAACATTATTCAGTGGATTCAATAGTATTCACAATAACTCATTAATATTCTCCACAATCAATGATGAAACTAGGAGTCGTTGGGAATATTCAGTAAAATTTCACGAGCACAATTCCAAATTTATAACTTCAACTTTCCATGGACAAGTGTTTTGAGTTGTCTTACCTTTTCAATCGCAGAACTTACGATCCTCTGATTGCCAGGGAGTCCATGTCGCTGCAGGTCCAATTTCCGCAAGGTGAACAAGAAGAGGAATATTTTGACAGAACATGTGTAGCTATGGAGAGGTGGGTAGAGAGAAACTACAACGTCCACAAGTTTTTTGCAGTGCTCGACCAGGTACCCTGCCTGCCCTATGAGGAAAAGAAGTAAAATGAGTGTCAGTCTAAAGAGTACGAGAGATGCATGTTTAAAACACTGTGAAAAAGAGAGAAAGCAGCCGGTTGAGCAATTTTGTACATACTGAGGGTTTCAGCCGGCTGCTTGGGTGGACTCGTGGGGTTGGCCATGTTTAGAAGCTCGGCTCTGGCCTTGACCACCAGGTAGTGAGTCGGATGCAGAGGTCCTTTCGGCCACAGGGCACCGTCGATGAACCGCTGCCAGAGGCGCTGGACTCCTTCCCCAGTAGGATCAGTGCGCGTCCCGAGTGCCGTCTCGAGTCGGTG